CTCTTCAGCCCTTAGAAATCTGGTAGCGTCTACCATGTGACTTCATGGGCGAGACTTGGACCTCGAGGCGTTGTTCAGTCCGTAAATGCCTTGTACACAGTGTGTGCCTGGCACTGTGCCTTGTGAATTTGTTTCTAAAGAACTGAATGGAAGATGATGGTTTTTACTTCTTATTTTGAGAAGTGTTTATATACTTGTTAGTTGATTGGGGGCCCGAATGCGTTTGTCTTTGAAACATGGGTATCTCTTAAGATCTTTCAGATACTGTGCATTGCCCAGACGCCGTTATTGATTGATATTCAGGACAGAGCCAGCCAGGCCAGAGGCTCCGGCAGTTCTCTATAGTTTGGGTGGTTTTAAATCATAAAGTGGCTTTCTCTCAGAATTCCTAAAGCTTCCGGCATTCCAGCTCTTGAGGCAAAGCTCACGTTGCATTAAGAGAGGGAGGCTATGGATTAGAAACGGTGGGAAAGCAGAGAACTGTATGGTGGGAAGCCATGCAATTAAAAAACTGACTGAAATTATTACCTGATTTCATAATTGACAGAATATTTAATTCAGATATAGTAAATTGACACACCTCTACACAGAGACAATTATGACTGACTGTATAACACCTGACAGAATCAATTATAACTGACTGTTGTTTGATACCTTTGCACGGAAATAAATGAAACAGACATTCCGAACAGAGACGGCTCTGCCTGTGTGCCTAAGCCTGCCTCAATTAAAGTAAAATAACCAGTAGGCAATGTTAAAATGTCTTTGCCTCGTGGTTTCTAGTCGAGTGTCTCCCTAAGTCCAAAGGGGTTTTTACAAAGAGGACAGCTGAAAGAGATTTTTGGCTTACTGATAGGGAAGTAAAATCTCTGAAGTAGAGATGTTTTCCTTCGATGGGAGAATACTCCACTTTGTCAAACAGTTCTAACGTTTGATTGGATCCGTTAACTTCTAAATAAAATACTTAAGACAGGTTCAACCTGCAGGTGATGTCTAGTTCCTCCCATGTAGAAAACACTGTAACTTGCCTGATTGTGAGGTTTTTGATTCTAATCAGTAGAAACCACCTTTTAAATTAGCAGTTCATTTTAGTGTCTGCTAACATACTGTCAATAATTAATGTCTAGGCTACCTTGTTTTTCACCATTTTCATAAGGGTTGGGGACAGGATATTTTTGATAATCAGTATATAACTCCAAGGAGTCAGCATGTAGAAAGCACCAGTAAGCCGTAGATACATGTTCCTCAGAGGTTATTCCCAGGAAAAGTAGATGCGCTTCGCTGGGGTATTAAGATGAGTGATTTCCAGTGAAGGTTCAGGCCACTGGAGTATATTTTGCCGATGCATTTGTGTGTAGAAAGAGCATTCCCCTCCCCAGATGACGAAGTTTGGATTTTTCGTGCTGGTTGTTGAGACAGCAACAGCCCCGGCCCGTGGCATCTCTGTGGACCAGGCTGGGCTGGTCTTCGATGACCCTTGCCGGATGGCCTCTTGGATTCTCTCAACAGTTGTTGTCATCAGGTGCCTGACCTGCAGTGCCTGTGCCAGTGACCTCTTTACCGACTCCAAAAACCAGAGCAGGGAGAAGGAATCAGGTGTTCCTGGCCATGTTAACTGGTTTCCACCATTTAACGCTGGTATTTTCCCTTGAGTTCTACGGTGGTGGGCGTAGCAGTAAACAGGAGAGCAGTTTCATGCAAGGCCTAATGTGGGGGACCTAGGTGCCTGAAGGGGGCCTAGAAAAAGCACAAAGAGTGAGCCTCCCCCCCCCCAAGCGCCTGTGCCCACTCATGCAGTTCTGTTTCCTAGAAGACCTTCCATGTGTTATTGATTAAATTCTCATTGGGGAAGCAAGTGGGAGCTTTTATCTGCATGTCGAACTGGCGTGCAATGGTACCTTGGCTGTATTGACTGGCTATGGGATATGCTGGCGGTCCCACTTGTCTTTTAAGAAGAAGAGCACCGAGGGACGCTGGTTGTCATTCTGAGTCTGCTGTGTGGCAGCGTAAATAGTCCCCTTTCTAACCAACCTGGTGGGAAAAGTCAATATCCCATCAGCAGAGGAGGTAAACACATCAGGAGCGATGCCCTCTCCCTTCCTCCCCTGCTCCTGATTCCGGCAGCTCTTGAAATGTGCGCCCCAGTCAGCACCTGCGCTTGTGGCATTCACATGCACGGGGCGCTGGCCCTGGGCTGGCCCTGCCGGGAGGCGGGAGGTGGGAGGCGGCCACCGCCGCTCCAGGCCATTGCTGTGGATCCCCAGACTCCGGTAATTAGAACTTTCCAAGTGTCTTTCTGTAGTCGGCTACCGATGACCCCCCTCCCCCTTTCTCCTCGCTTCTCTTTTTCCAACCCCCTTGGGCATTTAAATCCTCACCACAAAACTTTTTGTTGCTGTTTCTTGAAAGGCAATTGATGTAATTTAGAAAAGGTTGTGGAGAACAAATGCGAATGTGTAGCTAAGGAACAAAAACCTTGAGACCCAGCTTTAGTTTTCCGGGTGTTTTGTAGACTCCAGTGTTGCTCTGTTGTTTCAGTGGGCTTTTTCTTTTTGTGGTTGATGTGCACTCCCTTCCGTGTTTCCTTCCCGATGCTTTCCTATTCCGGGGCGCTGGGCAGCCTGGCTTGGCACAGGCCGGCGTCTGGGGGCCTGCGCGTCTCATTCTGGGAGCCGGCACGCAGGGTAGGATGAGGGCAGTGCACAAGTGAGTGTGGATTCTGGGTTCTGGATACCTGGGCTGGCATTTCTTCATCCCAGATTTCCAGCCGTGCGACCTTGGGCGAGTGACTTAACCTCCCACCTTGCTCAGCCAGCAAATGGGGATTTAAAAAAAATTAAAGTCGGCCTCTCCAAACACTCACGGGGTTCCTGAGCAGCTTTGAACCAAAGCTGTGTCATCTTAAGCATCCGGGGCAAGGTCGCCTCCCCTAGGGATCACCCTTATCCTCAAAAGATCAGACCTCGGTGTCTGGGCCCTACTGCTCCTTTAAACGAATCAAGTGTTAAGAGGTAGCCCGCTCTGGGGAAGGAAAGGAAGGATCTCCTCTCTGGCTGGTGGTGCCCCTCTCAGAGTGGGAAGGCCAGAGATGAATGGGTAGAAGCAGCAGGAAACAGAGGAAGGGCCGCTGCATACCCAAAGTTCACAGGCATACAGTGTGGACAAAGAAGAAGAACTCTTACCAATGGACAGGTGCTCTCCAGACAGCCTACCCCTCACCTCTGTCAACAGAGGCGTTTTGTATAGCAGAGGGACACAGACCGAAGGGCCTGAAAGCCAGCTAGGCCCAGCTGCTCCAGGGACCTTGCTCTGGGAGGCTCTGGCTTCCTTCAAGACAAAGTCTTTCCTGCCGCATCCATACTTGGCATGCGGTTGCATGCGTATGCGCGACAGCGCTGCGAGAGTGGTGGCTGCAGGTGGGGCTCACCTTGGCTGCTGCACCCGGGCCTGCACCTGCAGCTCGCACCCCTGCACCTGCAGCTTGCATCAGTAGAGCCGGGCCCTGCCTGTCCCCCTGTGCGCTGAGTCAGCTAGGTAGGTGGTGACAAGTGGCGGGCAGGGCAAAGGAAGAAAGGCTCCCACAGAGGAATCTAGGGGTCTCACCCGCCCCCCCCACCCACCGGCATGGGACTGGCCCCGGGTGTAGACCAGCCACGGGACCATGAGGACATCTGAGACACGGAACTGCAAACAGAATCCGCACCCTCTTCTGTAGTGCTTGACCAATAAATACTCAATGGTCTTTAAAGACGCTACCTCTGAGACTTGTAAACCTTTTATTTTTATATCTTTTTAGATAAGTGGAAGAAGTTTTTTACCCCCAAAGTTCGTCAGGACTACCAAAAACTCAAGAACACGGCGGAGCAGTTCTTGTCGCGGAGTGGCTACTCGGAAGTGAACCTCAGCAAACTCTTCGCTGACTGTGCCGTGAGGCCGTGAGGGAGGCCCAGAAGTGGGCGGCAGGGTGGGTGAAGAAAGACACCCGGCTTCCTGGCAACTCCACCACCTCCGCCCAGGCCCTGCCTGCTCGGGCATCCCGTTTCCTTTAGGACCGTGCCTCGTGTTTGGGCACATGTGGCTTGGGGGGGCATGACCGACGGGGGTCCAGGGGACCGCACCAGTCGCTCATCTACCAAGCATCAGAGAAGCTCAGAAGAGCCTTCCTGTCACAGTATAGCTCCTACTATTGAAACACGGCCTAGAGCCCTTGGCAAAGCGGCTGGAGAGCTGGCTGCTTCGTATTTGGGACTGGATTTCGAGGGGAGGGGTCAGTGAGGGATGAGAAATTAATTGAGAGTGGCTGGAATGCAGGGGACCCCAGGCTTTGCCCCAGGGCCTTCAGCAGAGATGCCCCCAGAGAGAGAGAGATTTATGAAGCCTGGTAGGAGCGCTAACATTTTGCCTTTTCACACGCCAATTAAACCCAGTCTGAACCCAACTGTTGCCCCAGCCGCTGGCTCCAGGAGTGGCTGTCCTTTTCAGTCTTGTCTTTTATATAGGTAGCCGAGGGGGGAGATAGAGACGCCTTGCATTTACTAAATAGATTAAACAAAGCTTACTTGTTTACTGAATCGCTCCAGAGTTGCACGTGCACACACATACTGGGCAGGTGTTTTACATTCACATTTCCTTTTTTCCCCTTAGGTAGAAAGTCCAGGTAAGGTTTATAGAGTAGGAAAACACATTTAAAATAATTTGATATCCTATAACATTTCCTTTAAAATGTGTAGAGTTTGGGGCAAGGATCCTTGTGTTGTATTCAGAAGAAATTGGGAGGAGGTTTGGTTAATTAGCCCTGGTGCTGTTTTGGGTTTTTTTTTGTTTGTTTTTTTCATCACAGTGGTGCCTCTTTGCTGGAAGCCAAATGTATTTCAATATAGCAGCCTTTCCATTACATTATTGGTAAGATCATACTAACAAAATATATTTCCCCTGTACACTATGCTATATTTTTTTAAAAACGTCTACCTGTCTGTTTTTCTAAAAGAAAAAAATATGTT